TATCACTGATCTCAGAAGGACATCCCAGGGTAAACTGAGGATATACATTCCCATTAAATGTTCCAAAGGATGGTGGACTATTAGATTTCCTGCATTTGTAGGCTACTGCAATCATCAATGTTATAATAAATAGCATTGAAATTAAAGTTATAGCGATTACAAGATAGAATGTTGCATTGTATGTGGTATGAGAATTAGTAGATTGCCATTTTATTTCTGGAACAGCTTGCTGAAAATTTTCAGCCACAACCACGTTCAAAGTTACTGTAGATGACAGGGATGGGACTCCATTATCTTTCACCAGCACCACAATTTTTTGCCTTAAAGAGTGCACATCCTGCAGGTCTCTGGCTATCTTGATTTCACCAGTCTGTTGGCTAATAGTAAATAAGTTTGGATCGGGAACTTGCAATAAGTGGTAAGAAAGCCAGGCATTGTGTCCAGAGTCAGAATCCACAGCAATCACCTTGGTCACTAGATAACCTCTCTCAGCAGATTGAGGGATAAATTCAAATAATGCTGAATCCCCAGGGTCTTCAGATGGGTAGAGAATCTTTGGAGCATTATCATTCTTATCTAAAATACATATTCTCACTGTAACATTAGTGTCTAGAGGAGGGGATCCACTGTCTTTAGCCATCACCTGAAACTGAAACTCACGTAACTGTTCATAGTCAAATGTTCTCTGAGCATAAAAAACCCCAGTCATTGAATTTATTGAAACATAAGAAGATACTGGGATGTTATCAATATACGTGTTGATGATAGAGTATATGACCTTAGCATTTTCATTGTCATCCATATCTGATGCATGTACACTAAGAATTGAGGTTCCTGCTGGGTTATGTTCTGGAATGTAGGAAATAAAACTTGGTTTATCAAAAACAGGAGGATTATCATTCACATCAGAAATGGTTAAATTAATAACTTTCTGAGCTGAAAGTTGGGGTATGCCTTGATCTTCAGCTATAACAGTAATATTATAAAAAGAAGATTCTTCTCTGTCCAAGGAGTGTGCAGTTACAAGCTTGAAATAATTGTTAGTTGATGGCTCTAATTTAAAAATCCCTGTCTCAGATATGTGGCATAATATATCCCCATTTTTTCCAGAATCCAAATCCTTGACATTAATTAATGCCACAAGTGTCCCAGGGAGAGTATCCTCTGGTACTGTTGAATAGAGAGATGCAAGGGTTATCTCAGGAGAATTGTCATTCACATCAACAATCTCTATTAATATGGTACATTTAGCTACTAAGCCACCCCCATCCATGGCTTCTACTGTCATCTCATAGGATTTTATTGCATCATAATCAAGTTCTCCTATGGTTTTAATGACTCCAGTCTGAGAATCTACAGTAAAAACATGACGTGCTTTTCCAGGAATGTGACTAAATGAATATGTGATTTCCGCATTGGTCCCTTCATCTTTGTCAGTGGCATTCAGCTGAAGTACCAGAGAACCACTTGGTAAACTTTCCTTTAGTGTTGTTCTGTATATATCTTGACTAAACAGTGGAAAATTGTCATTAAAATCTTGAACCATAATCTTAATGACAGCTGTTCCAGTTTTCATAGGTTTACCTCCATCAGAGGCAGTTAAAATGAGTGTATAGCTCTGCTGTTTTTCTCGGTCCAGGGGCATTTCCAGAACCAGCTCTGGATGTTTTGTTCCCTTGCTGTCAGTTTTTTCTCCCAAACTGAAATGTGGATTAGGACTAAGATTATACCCCTGTAAAGAATTAGCTCCCAAATCAGGATCACGTGCATTTCCTAGAACAAAACGTGATCCTGTAGAGGCAGATTCACTTATTACTATCTCAAAAGTGTCCTTAGAAAAAGTTGGAGGATTGTCATTAATATCTTGGATTTCAACCTTAACAGAATAAACATTTACAGGATTTTCAGCTAGTATCTCAAGATCAAGAAAGCAGATTTGCTCTGAGGTACATAATTCTTCCCTGTCTATTCTGTCAGTGATATAAAGGTTTGCATTTTCTGAACTGATATTGAAGTAATTCCTGTTACTCTGAGACACAATCCTTAATTTTTTTATATTTAGGTTGTTACTGTTTAATCCCAAATCCTTTCCAATGTTTCCTACAATGGAATTTTGCCTCATCTCTTCTAGAATGGTATAGTGAATTAAATTAGAAACAGCCACAGTATAAAAAGTAAAAAAGAGACACACTACTTGCCATGCCATAGTCCTATGCAAAGTGCTGAAGTCTCAAACAAAGGTGGATACTGATGCTTAAATCCTTGCCATCAGTATTTAAATTCCCCAAAAATAAAGAAAAGGATGAAAATCTGTCTGCCTTCTGTTGAGATCTGCAGTGTCTGAGTAATATAATTTCATCCAAACACTAACACTACAAAGTCAGTTCTGCACCACGTTAGGCAATAGTGACACCATGAGGCTTAGTTGCAGAAATGCAGGAAAATGTATATTCATGTAGACTATAGTATTACAAAATATATAGTATTACAGACCTATTTTAGACAATAACAGAATGATACAACAGCTCCATATAGATTATGAGCAGTACAATGCATATAATTATATTATAACCATAATAAATGCATACTGTGTAAAACAGCAGATTATTTAACCAAAATGTAAATTCAACACATGTATATTTGCAACATTAAATTATTTTGTGTTTGTTTTCATTCTTGTGTTACTGATAAATAAGACATAAGGATGTAATGTCCTGCTTAGTAGACTACCTGAAAATCACTTTCTTCTACTGTACTATAGAGGAATTGCTATCAATGTTATAGATGACCAAAGAAGTTCTAATGTACGAAACAACTAATAAGGGAAAACAACCACTGTATCTTAAATGTATACCTTAGGCCAGACAGTTATTTAGATACCTTTTTTAATAGTATATTTTTATTGAATTTCAAGACAGACAATTTACTGAATAGCACACAAACATAGACCACGTGATCCCTGGTCCTGACCATGCAGTTGTAGTTTTACATTAGTGGCTTGAGAGTTTCCATACTGTTAGTATGGTTCAAACCCTGGCTGGCACTGTCCCGGTACCGGCCGAGATATTAACATATGAATGGGCTGCGGTGATTTGCATATCAATCAACCGTGGCCCATTCATATGTAAATATCGCGGCTCATTCATATGCAAATTGCCGCCCCTCCCCCGCTGCTAGATAAACAATTTCACTCACACAGTTTTGAGTCAAAGGTCATAATAAGTCATACACAAGTACATAAAAGAATAGAAATGGAAAACATTAATTGTTAATTTCATTTGGGCATCCCAGTGTTAAGTGGGGATACATAATTCCTTAAAACATGGTGAAATACATTATTTTCTTCACTTTACAATGACTTTTACTAAGACTGCTACATTGACTAAACATAAATCAGAGCTATAGCTACAACTGAGTGAAAAAAAGCATCAACTGAAGTGTCAGAAACATTTGACTTTCATTTTACTTCTGGGACAATATGTTGAATTCTTTGAACCCCAGCAGAGCCTCAAGTAGCCATAAATGACATAGAAGGTGCTCCATGGTTTTTACCAGAACCACAATGTTTTGCTTTAATTAATCTATTGTCTTTATTGAATCTGAATCTTTATTGATGTTCTCTCTAGTTTGTAGATCAATGGTAAACATGGATCAAGAACTTATAGTAGATAATAGGCAAACCAGGAGTTGTGGCAGGAGTCAGTATCTACTGCAATGGGTTTAGTTATCACTTAGTTATCACAAGAAGAATCTTGTTTAATCTCATGATATGGAAAATAACTGTAAATGCCTACTTACTTTCTAAAGAGGGACAAAATGCTTACAAAACTATATATTGATGATTAAATCATTCCAACTAAATTGCCACATATGACATCATATTCTTCCTATTACATTTAAAACATGTTCAGATAATTTTTCATATCATGTTTAGTAACTGCTTGAAAGCAAATGCTTGGTGACATTCTTTCAATATCACTTAACAACTTCACAACCCCTCACCATAAATTAACTTGCTCTCATGGCATTCATTAACCTCTTACCGGCCGATGATGGGATTATCCCATCACCATCATTCAGTTTTTTAACAACTGGTGATGGAATATTCTGTCAATCGGTACAATGAGCGCTGGTCCGTGAAAGAACCAGCAGCTCATTGAGTTAGTGCTGTTGATGGGTCCCTCAGGGTTCGAGGCAGACCCCAACAGCAGAATAGGCACTCACAGTCCAGGGATCACAGTGAGAGCTGATCCCTGTGATCGCAGAGCTGTGACAGTCACACAGCCGGCAGCTGATCACTGTGTTTTGTAAATAGCTAGTTGGCTGTGTTTACAAACTGATACAAAGTATCCTTGAGGAGAATACTGTATTCTCCTCAGATATAATAAGTATCAAAAATAAAAAAATAACCCCTTAGTGCATTAGTAATATGCTTAATTAAAAAAATATAAGAAAATGGAGTGTCGAGGAGGCTATTGAAGATAGGAGAAAAACATACCACACTAAAATTGTATTTCACACCTTGTATTTCATGACCTATAACATCCAAAATAAACAGAAATCCCAGACATACAATATACCCCATAAATCAGGACAGAACTACACTAATTATGTACACATTATTATTGCCAAAGCTGTGAAAAATGTGTTGTTTTTCCTTTTTTTTTTGCCTTATTTTGCATTTTTATAAAAAAAAATAAGAATCTATATATGCATATCTCACATGAAATTAAAGTCCTTTAAAATGGCATATAATATATGTAGGTGTAATGCATGAGGAAGATATAAATTATGGTTAAACAAACACATAGCAAAATTGGCAAAATTGCTCAAGTCCCCAGAAGTGAAAACATTTTCTGAAGCTGTGTCATTAAGGAGTTAAAGTGCCCAGTTTCAGCTGCAGAAGGATTCTGAGATCATTTTGTTCTCCTACATATCGCTAGGCAGTCTATCTGGAAACCCTGCCTGATCAAATTGTAAACACTTTGAGTGGTGAAAGATCATGTGATCACCATGATTAATGTATAATTGTGATCAAAGTAAAATGTGTGCCCTGCAACAAACTTTCTTGCAGTCTGGTACAGTCTGGCAGTCTCTTTGCTTATAGCAGCTTTAGTGTGAGGAGAGAAGGACAGCTTTGTGACAATCTTGAGGGAAAAAAATATTTAACAAAAACTTTATATGAATCATCCATAAATCACAGCCATTAAACAGTAATTGAACATTACTAATATATTAGATCAGGATACTTAGGAGAAAACAATTTGAAAATAAAGTTAATATATTTCCTATAATTAATTAATACAAATATGTTACACATTAAACAAACTTTTTTGGAATTCAATAATTTTGATATGCAAATATTTTTGGTATGAAAAGCAGTTAAAGAGCTATTGGTGGGTAAACCAGTGCATTCTAAAACCTTGGCTTGGAAAAGTTTTGATTACCTTGGGTTTAAAGCTTTTTCTTCAGTTTTGGACAGAGCATCAATGATTGTTGAACCTCTGCATAAGTCTCCTATACCCACCCCACCATCCCCAGCAGCATCCTCCCCAAGGCAGGTGTCTTATTTGCAGCTGCTGGAGCTGATAAAAATTGTCCCCCAATTCGTCCCCATGCCCAGAGTCTCAATGCCAGCTTTGCAAAACTGCTGGTTTTGCAGCTGCTGCCATTCCAGTGAAGGCCAGCCCTGTCATTGAGCAGCATGGGCATGGAGTATAGTGAGCATAGCCAGGGATGCAACATATTCACAGCAATCTTCTTGTGGCAAGGAATAATGCAGGATTGGGCACACCACTGGAGCTAGTGATGGTAACAGCACAGTCTCCTGTACCCCCTCCTCCCCACTGGCCTCATCTTCCAACTCCTTGGAAACAGCACTCTCCCTCATGCTCAAGAGCATATGCATTATCCCAGGTTAAATGCTATCATGCTGTGTTGTAGCTTGTATGTCTCTGGAACAGGAGACATATTGATCCAGAGATACTGACAGCTTTCAAGTCAGGCCCCAGGCTAAGAGGTGGCTGACCGCAAGCCATCTTCAGCAAGGCAAGGTTTTGTGTGATAGCAACAATAATCTGCTACCTTTGACTGAGAAAAATCACACAGGCACTTAAACTGGCACATGTCCTCATCCTGGTGGTGTAGCATTTCATCATGAAGTACCTTGGCTTCAAAGAGGTCCTTAGTCAGTCCAAAAGGTGGTCATATCAGTACCTGACTCACTTGGTGGAAATGCAGCAACATGAGCCTTTCAACAACTTAATCTGTAACACCTACATGCACTGGAACTCAATGCTTGCCATGCTGCAGAGGCTGCATCCGCAACAATGTGCCATCAATGAGTACCTGTGTAATTATGGTACCAGGACAGGGCTTTTTTCACTGCATAAATGGCTTATCATTCAGGATGCATTCAACACGTTGGCACTTTTTAAAGGGGGACCATAATGGTAAACCACAGGGAGGCAGGGATTAGTGATACAATTTTTCTCATGTCCCTCCTGAAGCACACACTACATGGCCTGGAAGATAAGGCATTGTAAACACAGCAGAACTAGGAAAAGGAGGACTGGCTGGTACATCAGGGCCAACAGGATCCTTTGGCTACTGCCTTCATCCCTGTGAGGCAAGGGTAGTACGAGACAGAGGAGGAATATGGGGAGGAGGAAGGAGGAGGAAAAGGGGCAGGCTTCAAGGGTGACATTTTACCCCTCCCAAATGCCAAAATGTGTACGCTGGTGGGCTAAGATTGTTAAGGACCGTGTTGCAGGCAGTTTGTGGTGAATGGGGTCTTTTATGTTAAAATGTCTGTGCAAAGGCAAGGGTGTGTATCCTAGCTATGTGGAAGCAATCTACTCCTCCATTGTGGGCAATGTGGACTCACAGAGTAGATTAAATCAGATTGATGGAGGATTTGATGGCATCCCTTCATGATAAACAAGATACATTCATTGCTACCATTCATTCATTGCACCTGCCTAGTCTCTCCCTTTATATCAAGGCCTAGCCAAGCTGCTTACATGCTGTTAAACCACTGTACAATATGTTTGGCTTTTGTCCCTTAAAAAATACACTCTAATGTTTGTTTTAAGATTAAACCTGCCTCATCTCTACGAAAATTATATTGTGGCCTCACCAAGCTGCTTACATACTGTCCAGCCATTGAACAGTATTTGTGGTTATTGTCTGCAAAATAATACACACTGATTTATTTTCCAAGATAAAACCTGACATATCTCCATCTTATACTGCAGTTTAACCAAGCTGCTTTCATACTGCCCATCCATTGGACAGTTTTTTTGGATATTGACTCTGAGATAATACACCCCAATTTTTAGTGCAAGATAAAACCTGCCCCGGCTATTTGCTGCCTATTCAAGTGCTCACATACTGTCCTGACGCTAGCCAGTTTCTACCAAATACAAGTCTATATTTTGAATTTTAGGAATTACAATGTAGGATACAGTTTTGATATTTTATTAATTTTTTAAGTCAATGCAGTGTGGCAATGCATAAATAGAAGCTCACAAACTATATTATTACTGTTTTACCACTTCCCCACACAGTTTGAGGATTTTAGCATTTTAATTAGCTTTTTAGAAGTGGCTGGTAGTTCAGCTGGACGATTTAAGCCTATTACCACTTGCTAAAAAAAAATCAGGTATTGCAGTCAAATCTGTCCAAAAAGCTTAAATAAACCAGCCAATGTATTTCAGCCAAGCTAAATGTAAGAGTTAAAAAATCAATTACACATCCAAAATATGTGTAGTGTTAGAGCCATGGAAATACAGACACACAATCACATACAGCCATACACACATAGGTTGAACTGGATGGACCCTTGTCTGTTTTCAACCTTACCAACCTTACTATGTATTGCCAAAACACTGTGTTGCTGACGTTAAAATGTACTGTTCCATAACACCACATGCAGCTTAAATTAATCTACCAAGCATGTAATTTAAAGTATTGGTATTTTTTTCTATGCAGACATCAAACTTAAAAGCTATAAAATGTAAAGACAACATTAAAATAAATTATTTTCTTTAATGTTATAGAAAAATGTATTGTAACAGTATCCACAAATAAGCATGTTTGGGTCTAAACAAAAATTATCCAAACCACATATCCTTTCTAGTAAAATGCAGAAGTTAAGGTAAAGCAAGGCTAAATATGAAAAAAACTTGTTCCACACTGATCTACACATTTTCCCACCAATAATATTTTATATAAACACTGCACTTCTTGCAATGACATATATCTTTTTGGGTTGTAGCAAACTATTTGAATTATACTGAAAACAAATGAATTTAATTTTACAGATAATCAAAATAAGCCAAATTAGGAGATGATCACTTCAGACAGCTGAGTATAAGGGATCAGGGACATGAAATATCATGAAATATAAGTAGGGAATTTTCCTCGCTTTTGGGGATTTCCTCTGGTATTTTCTCAAACAGCAAACAACTGACAAGGGTTTTAACCTTATTCTACTCTATCCATAAATAAGAGTTTTGGTTATGCGCACACTTCAGGATGCCCTATAGAGATGCATTATAGCCCGCCCACCTTTGACCATCAATTTTAAATGCAGGATAAATCAAGACCAATACATTTGTCTAATTGGTACACATGTGTGGAATAATTCATACCTGTGTTGTGTTCTCAGAAGGTGCATCATCAGTGTCAATAAGATTATCCGTAGGAACATTCTGGACAGGATTTAGATAAGCAATTTCATTCTGCTTTGAATCAAGAGTCACACACACATCATATGAAAATGGAAAAGGTAGACTTGTATCGCTGATCTCAGAAGCATATCCCAGGGTGAACTGAGGATAGAGATTTTTACTGTAAGTTCCATAAGATGTTGGAGTATTGGATTTTTTGCAGTTGACAATTGCTATAATCATCACTGACAAAATGAATAAAGCAGAAATAAGAACTATTGCTATTATTAGATAGAATGTTGCATTTGATGAAATATCTACAGTACTGGGTTTATGTTTTATCTCTGGTATTCCCTCCTGGAAGTTTTCAGCCACAACTAAGTTCAAGGTGACCGTAGAGGACAAAGAGGGTTGTCCATTATCTTTCACAAGGACCACAATCTTTTGCCTTAAAGAATCTATATACTGAAGGTCTCGTCCTATTCTGATTTCACCATTGTGTGGACCAATGTTAAATAAAGTTGGATCAGGAACTTGTATTAGGTGATAAGAAAGCCAAGCATTATGTCCAGAATCAGCATCCACTGCAATCACTTTAGTCACTAGATAACCTTTTTCGGCAGTGTGAGGAATAAATTCAAATAATGTAGAATCCTCATTGTCAGGCGATGGGTAGAGAATCTTTGGAGCATTATCATTCTTATCTATTATACATATCCTTACGGTGACGTTAGTGCTGAGAGAAGGAGATCCACTGTCTTTAGCCACTAACTGGAACTGAAGTTCACGTAACTGTTCATAATCAAAAGATCTCTGAGCATAAATAACCCCAGTGATTGAGTTCATGGAAATGTATGAAGACACTGGAATGTTATCAATATTTGTGCTACTGATTGAATATGTGATGCGAGCATTTTCATTGTCATCCAAATCTGATGCACAAACATTAAGTACTGAGGTTCCAGCTGGTGTATGTTCTGGAATGTATGATATATATAATGGTTTACTAAAGACGGGTGGGTTGTCATTTACATCTAGAACTGTTATATATAATGTTTTCATAGTTAACATTGGAGGTGTTCCTTCATCTTCAGCTGTAATAGTAATGTTATAAGATGGATTTTCTTCTCTATCCAGAGGACCTGCTGTTACAAGTTTGTAATAATGATTAGATGATGCCATCAGTTTGAATGCTGGAGTATCTCTGATTTGGCATATCACTTCCCCATTTTCTCCAGAATCTATGTCTTTGACATTAATTAATGCCAGAAGTGTTCCAGGTGGGGAATCCTCTGGAACTGGTGTATATATGGATGCAAGAGATATCTCAGGTGCATTGTCATTAATGTCCACAATCTGTATGAATACAGTACATTGTGCAGCTAAGCCTCCCCCGTCTTTAGCTTCAACAGTGGCCTCATAACTTCTTGTTGATTCGTAATCCAATTCCTGATTAGTTTTAATGACTCCAGTTTGGGAATCTAAAGTAAATACCTGGCGTGCATTTTCGCGAATATGACTAAATGAATATGTGATATCTGCATTGGAACCCTCATCTTTATCAGTAGCATTTAGTTGAATAACTAGTGAGCAAGGTGGAGAATTTTCATTTAAATTGATTCGATATATTTTTTGGCTGAAAACAGGATAATTGTCATTTACATCTTGTACTTCAATTTGGATAGTAGCAGTTCCAGTTTTTACAGGCTTTCCTCCATCAGAAGCTGTTAAAGTTAAACTATATTTCTGTTGTTTTTCACGATCTAGGTGCTGCTTTAAAATAAGTTCTACGTATTTATTCTCTTCACTGAGTGTTTTTTCAGCTAATTCAAAATCTGCATTTTGACTAAGCTCATAGTTTTGCAAAGAATTGGTGCCTGAATCCTGGTCAAGAGCATTTCCGAGGACAAAACGGGCTCCTGGGGAAGTTGACTCACTTATTCCAATATCAAAAATGTCCTTTGAGAAACATGGGGAATTGTCATTTATATCTTGAATCTCAATCCTAACAGGATAAACATTTACTGGATTTTCAGCCAGAATCTCTAGATCCAGAAAGCAATTCATTTCTGATCCACATAACTCTTCTCTGTCTATTCTTCTAATGACATATATATTACCATTTTCTGAACTGATATTTAAATAATTCACATTTTTATGAGAAACAATCCTTAATTTTCTCATTTCTAGCTCATTCTTAGTTAATTTCAAATCTTTTGCAACATTTCCCACAACATAATTTTGCTTTATCTCTTCTAGAACTGAATAATAAAGCAAATCGGAAGCAGCCACAAAACAGAAAGAAAAATATAAAAATATTACTTGCCGTGCCATGTCCTCTGTAATGATATAGTTTCAAGCCTTGTAATCTGCTTTCTAAAGACAATCAGAAAAACCTACTATTTGATCAAGATTGTAAGCATTACAATTATCCAAACAGGGAAGAAGTAAAAAATGTTTCTTCTGTACAGAGATCTGCACTGTCTTTATAGCATAACAAGGGTAAGCTTCTTCAAATTATTTAACTTGTCTGCCTTGTTAGGCAACAGTGACACCATGAGGCCAATTTTTAAAAATGCAAGGATACAGGTATACACAGTATATAAAAAGATAGTTTTGTAAATAGTAAACATCCAGGTATGTGCAACCAAAAACTACAATTTCTGAAAAATATGCAATATGTCATGATAATTAAATTAACATTTACTTTTAAATTAAAACCAAATTTCTAATGCTCTCATTAATTAAAAATGATGCCTAATATTGCTAAACCCATATGTCCTGTATTTTAGCACAAATAAAAAAAAAAAAATATATAATAAATGAATAGCAGTCACTGAGATTCTTTATTCAGTGTTTGTACAATTAAACACCCTTTATTCTTTTAGGTTTCACTTGTCAAACTTGTTTCTTATATACTCATTGTGCATGCGCAAACTGTTGGCACTATATAAATCCTGTATAATAATAATAATAATAATAATACATGGGATTCCAGATCAATAAAATGATTATGGTGATAATAATGACAATTATTAACAATTATTATTAATAGAATCTAGATTATCATCTTTACATTTTCTAGGGGGGCAGAGGAGATTGGAGAGGTCAATGCAGACTTTAGTATATTAAAAACCCTCTGATTGCAAATAACGTAAAATTACGTTGGAGAAATACAATAAACCTTTAATACGTTTATGCAAAATGTATCATTTTATCCAAAGGTTTGATTACTTAGTAACATTTTCAAAATTGAAAATGTATGCTTCATGTATTTAAGATCAAGTCAGAAAGGAAAGCTTTTGGTTTAATTTAAAACAGATATAATTTCAATAACAAGCTTTCAATAGCTAGTTCTCATCCCAGATTATTGCATTGTGAGATTTATCAGCTCTCTGAAAGATACCTAGATGAGTGCTAGAAAATGACAAAAGCCAGATATAATCCAAAAAATGGTACTTGTACACACAAAGACCTGCTCTGAAAATACATTTTCTAATATTTTATGTAACAATCTTTTAATATGTGTACCTGTAAATACAACAGTAAAATTAAACATTTGTGGATCCTTTAACTTTAAATGATCACATTTAACTCGGTAAATCAGGTACATTTCACTAGTACAGTAACCATTTAACCTTAACATGTAAAACGCAAATTTGGTATAATAAATTAGTTCAGAGCTTTCCCAATTTTTAAAATGACAGCCTAGATGATAAACTTTGCTGAAACCTGTAGTTTAACTGTGAATGGACACAGTTTAAACATTTTAGCCATAAATGTATTTAAATGTTTAAAGATGCTATTTAAGTTTGTGGACAGAAAAAATATGCAAATAATTGCATTATAAATGTTAGCTTACCTGTGCAACATTCTCTGAATGTGAGTCATCTGTGTCAATGAGGTTCTCCGTGGGGACATTCTGGACTGGTTTGAGATAAGCAATTTCATTCTGCTTTGAGTCAAGAGTCACACATACATCATAGGAGAATGGAAACGGTAAACTTGTATCACTGATCTCAGAAGGACATCCCAAGGTAAACTGAGGATAAACATTTCTTCCAAGAGTTCCAAGGGAAGTGGGGGAGCTGTTTTTTCTACACTTGAAAACTATTACAATCAATACTATCATAATGAATAAAATTGATATAAAAGCTATGGCAATCACAAGGTAGAATGTTACATTTGATGATGTGTCTGAATTGGCTGGTTGTCGTCTTATCTCTGGTACAACTTGTTGAAAGTTTTTGCCCACAAGTAAATTCAAAGTTGCAGTAGCTGACAGGGAGGGAACTCCATTGTCCTTCACCAAAACCACAATCTTTTGTCTTAAAGAGTCAATATCCTGAAGGTCCTTCCCTATCTTAATTTCACCAGTATGCAGACCAATGGTGAATAATGATGGTTCAGGAAGCTGTAGCAAGTGGTAAGAGAGCCAGGCATTGTGTCCAGAGTCAGCATCCACTGCAATTACTTTGGTGACTAAATAACCTTTCTCAGCAGTGTGAGGAATAAATTCAAATAATGCAGATTCATCAGTATCTGATGATGGATAGAGAATTTTAGGAATATTATCATTTTTATCTATTATACAAATCTTGACTGTAGCATTACTGCTTAGAGAAGGAGATCCATTGTCCTTAGCCATCACTTGAAACTGGAATTCTCGTAACTGTTCATAGTCAAATGATCTCTGGGCATAAATAACTCCAGTCATTGAGTTTATGGAAACATATGAAGATACTGGAATGTTATCAATATTGGTACTAATGATAGAATAAATGACTCGAGCATTCTCATTACTATCTAGATCTGAAGCATTAATGTTAAGAACTGAAGTTCCAGCAGGAGTATGTTCTGCAATGTAGGAAATATACACCGGTTTATCAAAGACTGGCATATTATCATTCACGTCTAAAACACATAAGTAGATAGTTGACATGGTTGTCATTGAGGGGTAACCTTCATCTTCAGCTAAAAGTGTTATATTGTAAGTCGAATTTTTTTCTCTGTCCAAGTAATTTGTAGTGACAAGTTTGTAATAATTATTAGATGATTGTATTAACTTTAGAGGAAAGACTTCCGTTAGATGACAAGTGACCTCGCCATTTTTTCCTGAATCCAAATCTTTAACGTTAATTAGGGCCACGAGTGTTCCAGGCACAGAATCTTCTGGAATGGGTGTAGATAGTGATGCTATTAGGATTTCAGGTGCATTGTCATTGACATCCACAATTTGCACCACTATACTACATTTTGCCACTAAACCTCCACCATCCTTTGCTTCCACACTAATTTTGTAGCCTGGTGTGCTTTCAAAATCTAAATTTGCTTTTGTTCTTATGACTCCTGTTTGAGAATCCATAGTAAAGGTTTGCCTTGCATTTTCTGAAATGTGACTGAAGGAATAAGCGATTTCTGCATTGGAACCATCATCTTTATCACTGGCGTTTAGATAAAGAACTACAGAACCGATAGGCGTATCTTCTCTTAAGCTGATTCGGTACGTGTCTTGGCTGAATATTGGATAGTTATCATTAACATCCTGTACCTCAATTTTAATAACAGCAGTTCCAGTTCTCTTAGGTTGGCCCCCATCAGATGCCATTAATATTAAGGTATATTAATCATGTTTTTCACGATCTAAAGGTTGTTCCAAAATGAGTTCTGGATGTTTTGTCCCTTCACGGTCAATTTTTTCCCCCAAGGTAAAGTGTGGATTCGGGTTAAGGGTATAACTCTGTAATTAATTGATACCTAGATCTGGATCAATCGCATTTCCCAGAACAAAACGTGCTCCTGCAGAAGCTGATTCACTTATTCCAATCTCAAAAATATCTTTAGAAAATGCTGGGGCATTATCATTTATATCTAGAACCTCCACAGTAACTGGAAATACGTTCACTGGATTTTCAATAATAATCTCAAGATCCAGCAAACAGACTTGCTCTGATCCACATATTTCCTCCCTATCTATTCTACTAATAACATAAATATTACCATCTAAACTAGCATTGAAAAAGTTGTGCTTCCTGTTATGATAGACAATCCTCAGTTTCCTCACCTCCAGATCTTGAGTATCCAGGCCCAGATCCTTTGCAATGTTGCCTAATACAGAGTTGTGTCTAATTTCTTCTAACACAGAATAGCGCAACTGACTACTAAAAACAAATGAAGACAGTGTAAACAAGATAATGATTACTTGCCCCGCCATTGTGGCAATGTTTGTAGACAGTCTTCTTTCCTCTAGCATCCAAAGTAAAACAGTTGTTATAATAACAATTAAGCAACTAGTCTTAAAATAATCCAGACATCAGAGAGATTTCCATGTCCCTTTCTTGTTAAAACTGCAGTGATCATTCTAAGCACTTCTGCTTTTACTCCCTGTAAAATGTTCCATTCACTACAGTAGTGCAACAGTGACACCTTGAGGCTGATATCCTTAACTGCAGCAAAAAAATGTCCTAAAAGTCAATTTCAAGTTTTTATCTTAATAATCAAACAATAAACAAATACCTGCACCTAAGGAATTGCCAATAATATCTTGCATATTTTACCTTTTAGAACGCCTATGTGCGAAAATTATGAATACATTTGTTGCAAACTGTTTAGGAATTTCAAATATTTACTGTACATAATAATTTATGCTTTTAATATTTTTACTTTACAGTACTGTATTACATTTCCATTTTGTTATTAAAGTGTAATTAGTTACATAGTTATAAGAATCCACATCATTGTATCTGCCTTAAAAAAAAGGCTATAAGTTTACTATTTACAGTTATGAGAACCTTTGTCTGGTACCCATCTGGTTCTGAAAGCAAAAATATCAGAGATGGTTATCAAACATTCCATAACACAATGGCTCTCTGGAACAATACTTAACCAAAGCAGCTTTAAAGATCCAATTGATAGAATCATGGAAATAAAACATTTGGAAAAAGAAAATCAAGACTGCAGGCATTTTTGGCATATTTCACATACCTGTTTTTGAAGAAATTTGTCATTTTCATTTACAATTTACCACTCTTTCACAATCCATTTAAGAAACTCATATTTTTCTGATAGGTGATTTCACATATACTTTAAACAAATACAATCAAAGATGGACTTGTGATCACACCTGCTGAGCTACCAGGTGGAGATAAATGGAGGATGTGAGTGGTGATCTACATGGCTTATATTACAAGGAGGTTCTATCTGCTTTATTTTAAAAATATAATTAAATTAGATTTTTTATAGTATTAATAACAAAGTGTTAAAGAAAATATTGTTCTAACATATGGGACTAACAGCCTGTTATTAGTAATAACTACATTGTTCAGATGTGCAACATTTATATTTCTATAAATATTTACTGTATATATTAAAACATGTTTTTCACCTGAATTAAATGTCAAGTAAAGAAAAGTTCTATCATCTTAACGCACATATCATCACTTTATAACAACACCAAATTCCAAGAGGCTTAAGTAAGAATACCCACTCATGACTTTTTGACTTTTCCAGTCTAACTGTATTTTCCAAGTGGCCACCTGAGCTGAAGAGAAAGGCATGTGTACCATACTTTGGTGTGTGTGTGTGTGTGTGTGTTCTAAACACCAGTCTATTTATAGTATAGTAGTATAACAACAGATAGTAAAGAAACAGAACTCAGTCAATGGCTCCACCTGATGGCTGCAAGTGGTAAATACAAAATACTAATATATGATATTTCATAGTTATCTAGCTAAAAGGTTATTTAAAAAAAAATTGTTTTAATCCTTAATATCAGTGTTTCTTAAACTAAGTGTCATATGTTTCTGATGGGTCTTAGATTGTCCAGGAATTAAATTAGTTCATCAATGGTAAGTAATATATAAAACTGACTATGACTGACAGCATATATACAAATGGGGAACCAACTAATGTTTAAGGCGGGGGAAGAGAATCACACAGACAAGGTCTTTGTGGTGATGTATAGGGACTGTAGAAGGCTAATACCAAGTTAAATGCAGGTCCTTTTACAGCTTGAAATAAAGAAAAAATGCTAAAGTATTTTGAATACAGTGCTGCTTTAGGCCATGTATTTGATATCTGTGAAAAATGCTGCTTTAGTGTTTGTATAATTGTGAGCATTTACATTGGAATGACTCTCAGTAATCTTTATTTTAAATTATAATTTTTGTTTTAAGCTAACAATATGTTAGCTTTTCACTTTTGGCTTTACAATTAAGAAAATATTGAAAACTATACATGAATGCAAACCAATGTGTATACTGCTGTTTTTTTTTTTTTGGGGGGGGGGGGGGATGGTGGAATTTTGGAAATAATTATTTTCTTGGGTCACAGTACTATACCATATTTCTTATTTTGGGCCTGCTTGTTCACACCACTACGCACAGTAAATGGTGGTGTCTGTTGTGTAGGAGCAGTGAAATGTGTTGTTACAACACATCAAACTATTTTCATGTTTCTTTTTTTGTATACTTTATTGAAGGGCCACAAAAACCACATTGCAGTGTATTGCATTACGCTACAGTGTGATGACAAGTGGTAAAGTGAGTTGCACTGGGTAAAAAAGCAGCAGGTATCCATTTTGAAGAAACACATTGCAACCCACTTCAACGCAGTAATGTGGTGTGAACAGGGCACATAAGAAAAACATTTTTGCTATGTGCCCTTGTGTTGAGTCTGCACTGATCTATGCAGATCAGCACAGCTCAAGGCACATGATGTGACCAAGCCCTAAAAAGTTTAAGAACCCCTTCTCAATATAAATAAAATGCAAATATGCAAAACATTCCATCTAATGTAGGTAATGCTTTAAAAACATTGTTTCTGTATATAGTTAGTAAATCTATATGTAGGTGAGTGCATCCACATTTGCTCAATACAGAACTGAACATTGACTGTTTTTCACTACTTTTCTTTCTCTTTTCTCCCTATTTTTGTATCTGATCTGCCACTACTTGCAGTGATAGGCCAAAGAATAGCTGGGCACTTTTCATTCTTTAAATATGTCATAAAATCCACTAATAATAAAGCTAATTGCACTTCCATTCTTTGTATGGATTGTACATGGAGTGGAGACAGGCTCCCTTGACCAGCACCTGGTGTACCCATGGTTGTTGCATAATGTAGGGAAGAAAGGTTTGGAATGGTGGAGTTATTGTGAAAAATCAAAAATTCTTCTTAGAAGCCTGCCCGTACCACCCATATATCATCCATTAATCTTAGTAAGAAGCTTATTTAATTGTTGGATTTTGAATAGTATAATTATATATTTTTTCCCAAAGAGCCAAGAACACATTGAAATAGGTCACACCCACAGAAGCTACCATTGCCGTTCCCAAAAAATGGAGATATGAGCTTTCATCAAAAACTCAGCTTTACGTCATATATTCAATTGTTTTCGAGCCCTAATAAATACTCCAAAAATGAAATATTTTTCAGAATGCACTCCCACCAACAATCACTTTGTTGTGGCATCTTTTTATCAGATGCACCATACAGTGCTATACAATCCTTTTAAATTACAACTGAATATGAATTCTATATATTTTACACACATTGAATGGTTTGCATTTGTATGTGGATTTAAAAACAATTTTTGAATACTTGTCTCCATGTTGCAAGTGTATATACATTACCAATTAAAAGTTTTAGAACACCCCCATTTTTTCAGTTTTTATTGAAATCTCATAGTACCGCATCCAAATCTGATAGTGACTGCAATGTACCTTGATGTACAGATATTCAGCTAACAAACGCTGACTGTCAAGTTTGCAATGATATAATGGTCTAACGAGTTTTTCGGGGACATGCCCCCTTCATCAGCGCCCATCTCATGCTACCACTAGCCAGGTTAATAATCCATCCTGGGTGCATCTCACTCTGTGCAAGACACCAACTCTGGATCCAGCAAAAAAGACCAAGACCATCACGCTTTCTCCTCTATGTTTGAAAGTTAGTGTCACACACCAAGAAGCCATCCTTTTGCCTACTTGACGGCATACAAAAACCCTGCATAATGAACCAAAGATCTCAAATGTTGATTCATTGGTCCAGAAGACCTTTTTTCAGTCTTCAGAGGTCCACTGGTGGTGCTTCATGGCCAAGACAAGCCTCTTTTTCTCATTTTGCCATCTTAGCCGTGGCTTTCTTACTGCCACTTGAACTGTCAAACTTGCAGCTCGAAGTCTTATCTTTACAGTTGAAACTGAGACTTGCTTTTTTTGATCAGTGTTAAGCTGTGCTTGAAGCTGTTATCCTGTGAGCCGACTGTCACGCAAGCTGTTAACTCTCAGAAACTTGTCTTCTGATTCTGTTGTGGCTTTGGGTCTGCCAGACCTCTTCCTGTCAGAGTTTCCTCCAGTGTAGGAAACTGTACTCATTGATACATTGGTTTTCTTTGCTATTGCTCTAAAGGAAAGACCTACTCTTTTAAGGATTATAATGGTCTGTCTGTCTTCCTTTGTTATTTGGCTTTTTCTCGCCATTTTGAGAGCACTATACTACTGCAGTACAATACTGTATACAGAAAGAGGGCCTGTAATCAACAAAAATTGGGACACCTGTAGGAAATGTTAGCATAACCTTTCAAGGCCTTAATTTACATACATTGCTGCAGAACAACTGTAAGTTGTTAACTCATTACTTCTTCCCTGAAAAAGGCCTTTTTGTATAACTCTGAAACGTACATTATTTTTCATTTTTTGTTAACCTAAACTTCTTGTGTTTCCCATCTGGCAGTTTACTGCCTACCTTTGTACCATTTCAGGTTATTCATTGAACTTGAACTGTTTACATTTTAATAAAAACTGGAAAAATTGGCATGTTCTGAAATTTTGACAGGTAGTGTATATATATATTGCACTCAAATTATTTAAATGTGTATATTATATTTAAAGTGTAGAAACATAAGAAAGTGTTTTTAGGCCATAACATTCATTAATTGACTTCAATGTTTTGGATAATGGGGCCATAACTGACTGCACTCCTGAATATGTGAACCTTAGAAAAATAGTACCAAGCTAATTCATGATCATGTTCTTGAAAAACATTTTCTCTCCTGGTTCAAGATTCAGCAACCTTCCTTTGCCCCTTTTCTTTGGTCCAATATTGAATAAATGAAGAAACTGGTAAAAAGGGCCTTGCACTCCAGTCAAGGTTGGCTTATTTAATGTGCACCCCTCTCCCCTTGCTAAAATGCTGCATTCAACTTCAAAAAAATAAAAAATACATGAGGTGTATTAGACAATATACTTACCTTTCCTTTGGCTTCCATGGAGCAGGGAGTCACTTTACTATCTGGGCTACGATATCCCAGGAATGCTGAGTATTACATTATTATTATTATACAGGATTTATATAGCACCAACAGTTTGTGCAGCACTTTACAATATGAAGAGGACATTACAGTTACAATACAAGACAAGATGTTAAGGAGGGCCCTCCCCATGAGAGCTTTCAATTTAAAAGGAAATGCTTAAATTGAAGTTACCATAAAGCCAATGTCTCTTTGTTCATGTAAATGAACAGAAAATCATGTTAGCTGGAACTTAACTTATACACAACTGAAGCACATTTTATGTAAAGACTGATCAGAACACAGTCATTGCAATTAGCCGATGGAAGATATACAGATTTCAGTAAATTATATACCTAAGTGAGAGTCTCCATCATTTACCATATCAAAAATATTTGGCAGTGACACTTGAGCACTCCCAAATAATACTTGAGATGCTGGTTTTGAATTACTAAAAGAAAATAGGCTGTTCACTGTGCAAGAGAATTTGCACTTTGCAAATTCCTCCTTAGGTTAGTGAATTA